ATTCTCTTTTTCTTTTTTTTTTACTGTTTTATTTTCTTTTTTGAGGTCTGTTTTCTTTTTTAGAACAATTTATATTTCATTTTAATCTGCTACAATCTTTTATTAGTACAGTCATCCTCTTATATAATCATCTCCCATATAGTCACAAACTCTATATAATCACACCAAAAATATAATCCCGTTTTTTTAATATTAAAACCACTTTTATACAGTCACAATCATATTATAATCACTATTACATTTTTTTAGAATTTGTTGGCCGATTTTAATAATAAAATTATTTCTTCACAATTATATTTATATGTGATTGTAAATAGTTTCTATATAGAAAAGTTACGATTTTAATAATTAAATCAACTTTTATGCAATAAGTAAAGGTATTTGGAAGAATAAAATGCAAATTAGATAATTTTTTATTAATATTGTTTCTCATTTAGCATATTTACAAATATATAGTAGCTAAAATATTACAAATTTTTTAGCTATATTCGTAGGAATATAAAATGAGAAACAATACTAATAAAAAATTATTAAATTTGCATAAAAATTTAATAGTAAGTGTATTTTATTCTTCCAAACAACTTTACTTATTGCTAAAAAGTTGATTTAATTATTAAAATCGTAATTTTTCTATATAGAAACTAACTACAAACATATATAAAAATTTTAAAATACCTTTAAATATTATTTATAATTTGTGCTTATATAGAGGTACTTTTATAAAGTTACACCTTTTTATAATCACCATATTAGGGTGTGCCCAACTGTGTGATTATAGGGGAGAATGACTGTACAGTATATTTATCGTGCCTGATTGTCCACCGAAATCCGAAAATTTCATGAATAAATCTAATTAATGTGTCTAAATAAAATTCTCAAGGTTCTTAATCACATTACTATTAAAATTTTATAATCACATCTTTTTTATGTAAAACAAACCGCATGATTATAGAGGAGGACGACTGTATTATTTGTCAAACTAACTAGAGATAGTACTGGAGAATCGAAATAAAATGGGGAATCTTGAATTTTGTCTATCAATCAGCAATATTATATATATTTTTGAAAACTGTAAAATTAGGTTTATTCAGATTTCTTCGTGATGGACGAGCGATCACCTAATATTGTCGGAGATTTGACAGATGCGGTTTAAATGCATCTAACAGATCTCCGACGAATAACTGTCAAAATATTTATGATGGACAATACAGCCCTTAGTTTTTACACGCCAAGTAACTTTATCGATATTATTTGTCAAATTTTTGACATGTAACTATAACTTATTGATCGCTACACGCAAAATATTATCGTTATCAAAAATAGGCTAGAAAAAATAAAGCTTAAATAATAATAATAATAATAATTTTTGTATTTTTATAAATACTTTTTTTTTTTTTTTTATGAATAAAATGCTACTTGTTTGCAAAAAGATTTGCGCAATTGTTCTTTTTTTTATATATATTTTAAAGTATGTAACGACGATTGGTAATCGCAGACTACTAATATCAGTAGACTATTTAATTGATATCGAGGATGCTAATGATGGAGTTGAAAACAAGATGGTCTGGCCGTACTTGAATTCATAAAAGTGCAAATTTAAAATGTTGTTTCATATATACATAAATTAACCGAAGATTAATCCGAAGTTTGCTACTCCTAAAAGTTAATAAAAAATATAAAGTTTTCAATCTCTTACAGTAAAGGTAGAGATTAAGACAGGCACTATCGCTACGAATTAAATGGAAAAATGATAAACGTTGTGATGAAATGGATTGGATTGTGACGTTATTTCGGTAGATAGTTGCATATCATCAAAGTCTGGAGTTAAATTAATGATCGCATTGTGATGAGATTGATCAGATTGTTGCGAATTAAAGATTGAATCAATGTGGTGAGGTTCAATGTCAGTAGACCTCTGTGAATTGTTAAAATCCGGAATTGAATTAATTATAGCTTCGTAAGTCAATTTCAATTCTTGGTAATAAGGGTCATCTAACGGAAGATGCAAGTTTGTAATATCTAAATGGTTTAAATTCATGGAATGTTCTTGTTGAATATTTTCACCACCAATCAAAATGTGAGATGATGTCAATTCGTGTGATATGACGTCTCTATTTCTCCGCCGTTTCTTTGTTTTTTGAAATTCAACAAATCCGACAGGAACTCGTTGTTTAAATGCTATATTAACTTCTTTTGATAAATTTTTATAAATGTCCTTAATTTGTTCAGGAAACCTTTTCCAACAAATACTTGCATGAACAGAAATTTGGCCAGAATTATACCCGAGTTTTTTGGCTTCGTTTGAAAACTCTGTTCTAAAGATAAAGAAAGCATTACATGTTTTATTGGCATTTTTCATACGATTATTTTTAACTGAAGTTTCTACGAGTTCCTGAACAGAGAGTGTTGGTAAATATTCAATATTGGGATTAATGAAAATAGTACTAATATCGCATTTTTTTTCGAGTGAGTATTTCACGATATCATTTACTGTGATAATTGTTTCTCCGAAATCGGTAAAACTATTGAAACTGCTGTCTTTGGAAAAAGATAAGTTTGACATATTTTGTAAGTATGAAAGTAATAATATCTTTGTTCGCATATATATATGAATTTTTCAATCTATTTCAAGGCCAATAGAAGCTTACATATTACCATTTTCTTTTGTTTGGCATCCGCTCAATTAAAGATACCAAAAATGAAATAACAAATTCATTACATATATTCTATAAAAGGGAAAACGATTCCCAAGGAATTTCGATACATAGGATGTATACGTATGATGGTGGGGTTTTACAGATGCATGATATGTAAAATAAATCTTTCATAATATGCGATCTCAACTATACATGTGATACGTACTGTTAGATTAAACAAAGAATCAACTGCAGGCACTATATAACTTATTTTGAATAAAAAACTATATACAGTATAGTATAAATATACTATACTATATATTGTATATATGCATTGTGTTTTTGATTTGGCTAATATAATGTTTTGCTATTGCAACATAATCTTGTTTATTCATACCTATTCATGTCAATGTTATGCATCAATTAATGTTTATTTGTTATTAACGATTATTTATTATTTAGCGCTAACGCTGAGATCTTTCTTTCCTAACGCTAGCTCAAAATTATGATTATCATTATGCATATTGATCTTAGAACGAATCGGATTCCAAATGCAGAGAAATGTAAGTACGTACGTACGCACGTACGTATGTATGTATGTAGGTACGTACGTAAAAACCACAGATCGGTAAATATAATTTAAATTCTTTAACACCAATGCTTTTTTTTTCAAATAATCCCGGTTACCACTGTGAGCAGACCAATTAGGTAAGCGATTCGATACACACGGCTGTAACGATCCACGAATAATTTATAAACCAATACAATAGACTCTTTTGAAACGATTCCTTTATTTTCGCACGGCAAGTTTTATCTATCATTAATTATGCTGAACTATAACCTCCCTGCATTGGCATTCATTTCTTGCTAAAAGTTCACGTATGTAACTCTTGGGTTGTAAGCTTAACTGTAAGTAAAGGAATTCATATCCGACTTAAGGGAATTAGGATAACATTATACGAGTGCTGCCAAGGGAAAGGGCTTATCGAATTTTAATATAAACTTTGTTCAAAGATATCTCGATGTCTATTGTATCAAATTCAATAAATTTTTTTTTATTTGAATTCTACAGATTTGTAGAATTCAAATAAAAAAAAATTTTTACCAAATTTGATACAATAGTTATCGAGATATCCTTGATCAAAGTTAAGATTAAAAATTCGGTAAGCCCTTTTCCCTTGGCAGCAGTCATATAGAGTCGATCGGCCAATTAAATCAGCCCGACAAAACGAAAACAAGTAGATTAAGCTATATAAACTTATATAATCAGTTTTCATCTCCCGGCTGATCATTTATTTTTAGCTTGCCGATCAATAGAAATCTTCATCTCCCTAAAAGATGATAACCGAATACCGATTTCCAAGTAAAATTTTCTTGTTTTCAGAAAGATATTTATTCTATATTTATCGGTATGATTAAAATATGTGGCGCGTTGCGTATTTAAAACTAAAGAGGAAAATTGAATATTTTGTGAGAAATATATGATTTAGTAATATTATTATGAAAGCTGCCAGTTAATTAATATAGTGCACCTGAAACGTTGTGTGATAGCATTACATTATCAGTTATGCTACATAAACTTACGTATATATATTATAAAAATGTTAATAAGTTATAACAAATTTAATTGAAGTTACTCAAACTACAAACTTTTTGATATATATGTTTACTAATATATATTCTGTTGCTTGTACTAACAATTTTTAAAAATTTTGCGGTGTTTTACATTGAAGAGTTGGTAGAAAAGAGACGAATCATTTTTAGTAATTTTTTTAAAGAAATTTTCTAAAAATACATTAGTATATTCACACACTATTATAATCTATAGATTTAATTGTTTACAGTAAATATAAAACATTAAAAATCCTCGTCTATTTACTTATATAATCTAAATCTATTTTAATTTACGATATATATAGTTATATATATATATATATAATATATTTTTTCATAATATATACAGCATATATGTATACTAAATAAATCTTTTTTGTACTGTATTTTTAATTAAAGGTATTAAATATTTAAATAAAAATTATATTATAATACTGTATATACTTAAAAATAAAAAATCATACTATATTTTTGTAATATTTTAAATTTTAATTAATTTTAACCCGGGGTAATATCACCTTATTATTAATATTTTTTTAAAAAATAAATAAATTTACTATTAAAGATTAGAGTTAGGCTTAGGGTTATATTGGAATTAAAAAGTGTAATTATATGCAAAATTAGATATTAAAAACTTTTATTTAGAAGTATAGAGCTATAAAATTTTATTTAAAGATTTTTAGTTTTTTTTTGATATTAAGATAAGGTCTTGCTTATATCTTTATTGATTAATTTATATAAGTAGTTACATAAAAACTATATAAAAACTTAATTTGTATAATAACAAATAAATAAAACTATATAAAAACTTAATTTGTATAATAACAAATAAATATAAATTATATACAAAAATAAAGCTCAAACTAAAAGTTTAAACTAACACTTTTTCTGATGATCACTTGTACCAAAAATCCAAATACATTTTTTTGTAAAAAAACAATAGAGTATAGTAAAAACGGAGGCAGCACTATCCTTTAAATTGTTTTGCAGCCAAATTTGCCTGCAAACTTTTTTAAATTTTAAAATTTTTTAATAAAATTTTAA